CTTCTCGCCTCAGCTGGGACCACTGCACCCAGCCAGCATTTTTAAAGTACAGAGATCAAAAATAGAAGGGCTTGGTATTTGTTCTAAAGAATTTGAAAAAGAACAATGAAACAAATCATACAAACCTAAGAAGAGGGGATCAAAGTTGATGTTGTAAAATAGAATACCAGACAAAAAAGTAGAAATTGATAAATACATGTTAAATCTGGTCCTTGGGAAAGAAAATAAAATGGGAAACTTCTCCTAATTACAGTCAGGCAAAGAGAGGAAGCAAAAGTAGACAAACCTGGAATGCGATAATAGGAGAAATTAAAATAATTACAAGAAAGCTACATGCAATTCTTCAGCACAAATTTGAACTTGGAGAGGATGAAAAGCTGATAATGAGTTGTTACTACTCATCTAACATATTTGAGGAAGCTGAAGTGCTTGCAGTAGGACAAGGGAGCAAGAAGCAAGACAATTTGTTGTGCAGAACCCTAAAAATGGTCAGGGGTTCAAGGCACAAGTTACCCCAGGAGATAGTGAGGGATATAGCAGATGTGAGCTTCAAAGTTAGGAAAGAGGCATGATTGAGTTCTCAGAATCTCTCTCTGTTCTAAACAATCAAGAGAGCTAGCTATTCACGTAAGAACAAAAGCCATGTGGAAACAAAAGCAGGGCTTTATTGATCTGTCCAAGCACCTGATAACTCCTAAATGGAGGCAAAGAATTCTAAAATGTGAGTCTTAAAATAGGAGCCTTTGATGAGACCTCTATTCTCCTGAATATCTACCTGTTTCACCCTCATACCCAGCGGTGGTATCTTAAACCACTGCAATTTTAGGAAAAGCCAATCTGACTAGTGTCAAAGGACAAGAGGATAGTATTGAGCATATTTTCCCCTGGTACATAAACCACTTTAGCAGGGCAGAACCTGGGCCCATCCACCCTCTGGGAGAAGGGAGAACAGAAGTGATAGTGAGACCTCTTCCCACTTTGGCCACTTTACCTGTTCATAAAATGAGGTGAAATGAAGTGGGGAAATGCCCTACCATGCATGGGTGCAGGAATAGGCAAGAGGATGTCCTAGACCTGTCCTGAAAAGTCTGGCTATTGGGGAAGCAACAGGAGGCCTTAAGGCAGCCATTGCACAATGTGGCAGAAGAATGGGCGACAAAAGAATAATCCTTAATTTGATTAAGTAAATGAGGCCCATTCAGTTGAAGTTATTTGCCTCCATGATATACACAGTCAGTCTGGGATCAGAACCAGTCTTATTGGCTTGCTGGCTGGTATTCTTCCTAGCTGACCTTACTCGTTTGTCTCTGCCCAAGTGGTGCAATGTGAATTCTGGACTCAAACTTGAGTTCTGGTTCCACCACCGATAACCTGCGAGATGTGGGCAAGATTCTTAACCACTTTGTTATTCTATTAATAGTTTCTTCATATTTCAAGTGCACATAGTGGTGGAGATTACTTCATAGGGCTTTGATGATGGTTGACTAAGAAACTACATAAAGTCCTCAAAAACAGTGTCTACCACATGGTAAGAGAACATAAATTTTATTGTATTCAAAGCTTTGCTTTTACTGGTGATTTAGTATAAATGATATAGTTGAAAATATGAAAACTAAAATTTAAATTTATTTTACTTTTTGAATTCAGTTGAATTGAATAGATTTATGTTTATAGGATAGTCAGCTTACATATTCTGATTGTGAATATTTTATCCTTTGGAGTATCTTTCATTTGTGATAAATACTGGTTTTCCAGTAAAGTCCTTCCAGAATAAGATGCATACTACCTGAGGATTGCTGTAATAAGATTTCACATAATGTTTAATGGGACAAGTGGGGATTTCATATTATAAAAGACCAATTGAAGGGTGTTGTTCTGTAAAGACTACTGAGTAATATTGAAATAGCACTTTACATACTCCTTGCCCAGATGCCTCACTGGACATCTACCATTTCACAAGTTATCCAACCTTGTCCTGCCACCCTAATGTAATTCAGCCTTAAGTTTTAGTGCATATTGAGTCCAGATACAGAGTACTGAATCTGATTTGCTGTGGGTATGCAGTTTGCTTAGCTGTCTACTGGTTTTGCCTTTGACAAATTTAAATAAATAAAATTGATGTTTTTGTAAGATTTGCTTTAGACTATTGCACTGCAGTGGGCTGGTGTTGAAACACAATACCTTTTAAATTGGACCGTTTACAGAATGATCTGTAAAATCTTTCTAGATGTCTTTCTGTAACTGCTGTGGTGGGCTAGGAGTCATTATTTGTTTTTGCAGGCAAGTTAATGGGTTAAAATGGCAGTTGAAACTGCCTTGTAATAGAAGGTTTGAAAAGTGCACTTAATCACTTGCTAAGGGCATTTAGAATAAAGAATCAGGAAAAGTCATTTACAATCCAGTTTGTTTTTGAGAATATTGAAAAGCAGAGCTTCATAATGAAAATATTATATGTATGACTGTACGTGTGTGTATGTCTGTGTGTATGTGTGGGGGAGATGGATATCATTAACTTGGTTTTAGTTCAATGTTCCTGTTGTATTTTGTGGTTGAAAAGACCATGAATAACAAAATTACTAATTTTCTTACTTGCTTCAGATCTTTGAAAGTGGTAGCCACGGGTTCATAGTATCAGTGGTGTAAATGAGAGCCCTATTAGCTTAACTGGGAGAGAGAGAAGGAGGGAGGGAGGATTAGAATCTGAAAATCTTAGGATCTGATTCTAGTCAAGTGCACAAAAATACTGGCTTTGTCAGTTTCCTAAGCTTGTTAATAAAATGCCATCATCAAGAGTTGGGTATCAATATATTTATATTGATGTTACTTCTTGTTGTGAAGTTTTTTAAGTTTTTAAAATGTTTTCTGGGAATTTTATTAGGTTAGTCCTAGAAAACTCCGAATCTTATCCTTACCACCACCACCACCACCTTGAGATATTCATTGCGAGCATTGCAATTTATTGATTTTTAATTTTTTCAAAGAGTTATATTTTAAATGTTGTATGCATTGTGAATTTTAGAGTATTCAAATATTTTTATTTTAATCTTAGTATATTCATGAATATAAACAATCTCTTAAAACCTTATTTCTTTTTGGGATTGTCTTTTTGGGATTGTCTTTTTAATTGCAAAAGAATGTTACCAGAAGAAAATTACTTCAGATGGGGTAATAGATTGTGATATGTCACTGAATTCTAGTTTTTATACTGGCAATATATAATAAAATGTTTAAGAAAAATAAATCTAGCATTACTGAAATCTGAAGTTGCCCATATATTCTTATTTGGAAGTACCTTTCATTATGGCAGGCAACTTGAATTGCTCTATACTGGAAAATTTAATGTACCACTCAATTACTATTCTTTAGCCCAATTTAAAATAATAAATTGAGAGTAAGGTCTTAATGCAGTGTAACCTTTGGAACATTAGAAATAACCTCTTTCCAGAAATCAGTATATAGTAAGGGTATCAATTTTATCACACTGCATGAATAGATTTGTAATAGCTCTTAGACCTTTTTTTATTACATAAGTATACTGATTTCTTCTTACTAAACTTATGCTAAACACTAATTTTAAGATGATGCTGTTATAATGTTTAAAACTGTATACTTTTTATTTTAAAGCTTTTTTGATTATTCTGATTCTAGTGAAAACCCCAATTTAGAGATATCTTGATATTTTTATATTTCATAAAATGAATGTTTTGAAGGAATTTGAGATGGGAGATACTGAGATAAAATTTCAGCTATGGAAAGGTCCTTATTCTCCCTTTTTTCTTTAATAGTCATACTATGTATAGCTGTGAAACTATATGAAAATATTAGGATTTTATTTGAGAAACTGTAAAAGGACTTCATAAAAAGTGTTATCTTTTCTTGTGATGCTACCTTTTAGTGATAGCTATTGCCCTTTCATTTATTATGAAAAGCAAATTTTCTATGCCAGGTGAAAATGTTCACAGAAACTAATTTACATACCCTCTCAAATTCCTTTTGGTACAGAGGAGGCTACAAATAAGCAAATAGTAATAGAACTAATCTGCATACTCTAAAATGTTGGTCTTAATGGTACTGATGGAAAGTTTCCAATTTGTAGCAAAGCAGTGACTTTTAAGAAAATTATATTGAAATGTACTTTATTAAAAATATATAATTCCAAAATGCAATATTGGACAAGTTTATCTTATCCTTATTTCTTTTGTTGACCAAATAATAGACTAAGATTCATGATTTTATAAGCAGACCTGGACGATCTTGTCAGTTTGGTATATTTCCAGTGCTGTAGATACAAATACACAAATACATAGAGAGCAACAATAGTTTTGATTTGGAATCATAGTCTTCAATGGATGTATTCCTTTTTCTGTGTTGTCCGTGGGTTCTCAGATGTGGTTTGTGGACCAACTTCCTCAGGAATCACTTGTGATGTTTCTTAAAATACAATATTTTTGTGGCCCAGGAATCTATCTTGAAGCTGATAACCAGAAACCTGCCTTTTACTAAGAACCCTAGATTATTTGTATGGGTATCGTGGTGTGAGAACTGTTGATCTCTCTGTAGCAGGGGACAGCAAACTTTTCCTATAAATTACTAGTCAATATTTTTGGCTTTGAGGACCTTAAGGTCTTCGTTGTAACTACTCAATTCTGCCATGATAGCGCAGAAGCAGCAACAGACAATACAGAAGCACAGGGTCGTGATTGGCCAGACTTGGTCCAAGAATTTGCCAATCTCTAACAGAATCTAGATTCTAGATCAATGGTTTTTACTCTCTGAATCTTTTCTAAGGAATTATCTTTGAAATAAGTCGTAATGAGATGTTCTGTGTATTTATTTTTTGGTAACTAGAGAAAATTCATGAATATAGAACACTTTCTGGTTATACATTAAATGAATTAACAGATGTAAAACCTTTATAATATTTAAAACCTTTTCTATGTTAATATTAAGGAGAGTATGATTATCTTATTTCTAACTATGTAATCTGCTTCTAATATTAGGTTCCTGTGGCTAGAGCAAGTATTCTTTGGCTAATTGGAGAGAACTGTGAACGAGTTCCTAAAATTGCCCCTGATGTTTTAAGGAAGATGGCTAAAAGCTTCACTAATGAAGATGATCTGGTAAAACTGCAGATTTTAAATCTGGGAGCAAAATTGTATTTAACCAACTCCAAACAGGTAAGAGTCTAATCCTTAGTCAACCTATCTGATATGTACTTTCCTCTTCACTCTGATCAAGCTGCTGAGGTCTGTTCCTGCATTAGTCTATCCATTCAACAATTACTAGGTGCCTATTTGTTTCAGGTTCTACACTAGATAGTAGTACAAAGAGATGACGTTCTAGTCTAGTAGGGGAGAACAGTAGGTAAAAAAATGAAAGAGTATGTGGTAAGTGCTATAATAGATTTTTTGAGATACAATGGAATTCCAAAGGAGTTATTGAAAATCTGAAGTTTTTACATTTTGGTCAAAGCAATCATTTTAGTCTCCTCCTATCCAGTGGGTTATGAACCATACAATTTAAAAAATATTATCAAGTCAATGGTGCTTAAAACCATTCTTTAATGTTAATTTTCATTTATTAATTCTCTCAATCTCCTCTTTTTGAGAAGTATTGAAGGACACAGTACAATTCTACTGGACACCTTATTCATCTATTTTTATACTTAATCATTTAAAAACAATGAGCTCTGTGAAAATTTGTGGTATTTTTTTTAAAATCACCGTGTTTTCACCAGGGGATGGTAAAACCTACTGTGGTTATCTAGAAGTATCATTCTAAAATATACAATAAAACACTTCAGAAGCTGAGTTCAACAACTTCTATTAATAATATAGTTTAAGAAAAAAATATATGAGTGTAAACTATGTTGTCTTCAAAATCACTGGATAAAAAGACGTGGAACATACTCTATAATTTCTAAATAAAGAGTACTGTACTCATTAGTTATTTTCTCATTAGCTACAAAGAAAGGGGCCATTATTTGGTTTTGTTGAGTCTTGATTAACATATTATTTTTGTATTACTTTCCTAATAATCATTAGGCTATACACACACACACACACACACACACACACACACACGTGTGTGTGTGTGTGTGTGTGTGTGTGGTTTTTTTTTAAAGAGATAAGAGTCTCACTCTGTTGCCCAGGAGTTTCAGTTGCATGATTATAGCTCGCTGTAACCTCAAACTCCTGAGCTCAAGTGATCCTCCTTCCATAGCCTCCCAAGTAGCTGGGACTACAGGCACACACCACCAAGCCTGGCTAATTTTCAAAAAATTTGTAGAGACAGGGTCTTGCTATGTTACCCAGGCTGGTCTCAAACTCTAGGCCTCAAACAATCCTCCCATCTCAGCCTCCAAAGTGCTAGGATTACAGGCATGAGCCACCAAGTTCAGTCTTAAAAAGTTTTAAAAGGTTTCCCTTTCACCTGTAGGACAAGGTACATACTACTTAGTAGAACTTACAAGCCACTCCATGTCCTCAAATTGCCAAATATCTTAGTCCATTTGGGCTGCTATAACTAAATACCATATAGTAGGAAGCCCATAAACAACTGAAATTTATTTCTCACAGTTATGCAGGCTGGGAAGTTCAAGATCAAGGTGCCTGTAGATTTGGTGTGTGGTGAGCACTCACTTTCTTGTTCACAGATGGTGCCTTCTCACTGTGTCTTCACATGGTAGAAGGGGTAAACTAGCTCTCATCATAAAGACTGCCCTCATGACCTAATCGTCTCCCAAAAGCTCTGTTTCCCAATATCATCACATTAGTGATTAGGGACACTAACATTCAGACCATAACATCTACCATTCCAGACTTGCCTTTAAAAGTTTCCTAAAAAAACACCAACCTGTTTTGTGACTGATCCTCTGCTCTCCACTTTCCTTATTCTGTATAGTAAACCACTCCTTATAAGCCCTTAGTCAAGAGTCTTATCCTTCTTTTTTTTTTTTTTTTTTTTTTTTGAGACAGAGTCTCACTCTGTTGCCTTGGCTAGAGTGAGTGCCGGGGCATTAGCCTAGCTCACAGCAACCTCAAACTGCTGGGCTCAAGCGATCCTACTGCCTCAGCCTCCCGAGTAGCTGGGACTACTGGCATGCGCCACCATGCCCAGCTAATTTTTTCTATATATTTTTAGTTGTCCAGATAATTTCTTTCTAATTTTTTTAGTAGAGACAGGGTCTCGCTCTTACTCAGGCTGGTCTCCAACTTCTAAGCTCAAACAATCCTCCCACCTCAGCCTCCCAGAATGCTAGGATTACAAGTGTGAGCCAACGCGCCCGGCCAAGAGTCTTATCCTTTATAAAACTTTCTCTGACCTCTCATCTCATTATTATTATTACTTATTTATTTTATTATCTTTAAAACTGAACTATAAGGAGAGTAGGCTGCAGTGTTCAGGGGTCGGTTTGTCATGGAGTCCTAATACTTATTTGTGGACCTAAATTCTCTGTGGTCTAGATACCTCAATGAACATTTCCAGAATTTTTATTGAATTTCCTATTTAGTTATAGGGAATGTCTCAGTTGATTTTTGTAAGGTTTAGCACATTTTATTTGTATGCTTAAAGAATAACCGAATAATAAACTTCTTTACTACCTCAAAATGTTTTGACTTGATATAAAAAAGAATTTAAAAGAATTTTAAAATTAGTTAAGAGTCCACTTTCAGTATATACTAGACTGACCCTCCCATGAAAAACAAACTGTGGAAATACTCAGAAAAACAAACTACTGTCTAAAGACTCAGAAGAGTAAAGAAAAACAAGATGGATTTTGGAGGGGAATTGATAACTTGGAAGAAGGGAGTGGCAGAGAGTGATTTTCTTCATTTTTATGGCTTTTATCCTGAGGACGGGCTGCAGTTCATGCTATGCACAGCAGCTGAAGCTCCAAAAGGAAAGCCAAAGTCCTTCTGGCTTGAGGAAGTAGAGGACAGAGTTCAGGAAAATTATGAACACTGGAAAAATAAAGAAAAAATCTGGAAAAGAGTGCCAGAGTGGGGAAGCCTCAAAATCTGTGAATAACTCTGTTTCTGGCTAGATTTTGAATCACACATATGTAGAGTGGATTCAGAGCAGCACAGCTGAGAATAAAGAACTAAACTAAAATTTGAGGTGTACTCAAGAGACAGAGTTTTCACTTTGAATCCCACCAAGTCAATTGCCTGCTAAAACAAACAAAAATTCAGTATTCATTCAAAGACTATAACAATGTCCAGGGTCTCTACAATGTAATATTCATAATGTCCAAAATATAATTCAGAATTACTCAGCATAAGTAGAACCAGGATGGGCAATTATTGTATAATGGTTATAGTTTCAGTTTGGAAGGTGAAAAAATTCTGGAGATGGATGGTGGTAGTGATTGTACAATACTGTGAATATACTTAATGCCGCTAAACTTCAGAAATGGTTAAAATGGTAAAATTTATATTTTTTTAAACTCAATAAAAATGAAGACCAGGAAAATGCAATTTTCAAGGAAAAAAATATCAACAGAAACCAGCCCCAAGATGTCTGAGATAGAATTTGCAGGCATTTTGAAGCAACTGTTATAAATATGGTTAATAATATAAAGGAAAATGCACTCACAATGAATAAAAAGATAAGAAATGCCAGCAGGAAATTAGCTCAGTGTGGTGGTGCACACCCGTAGTCCCAGCTACCTGGGAGGCTGACCCAGTGGCAATCACAGCAAGAACAAAAATAAATAAATGGGACTTGATTAAATTAAAAAGCTTCTGCATAGCCGAGGAAATAATCAACAGAGCAAACAGACAACCTACAGAATGGGAGAGAATGTTTGCATGCTGTACATCTGAAAGAGAGCTAATTACCAGAATCTACAAAAAATGCAAGCAAATCAGCAAGGGAAAAACAACCCCATTAAAAAGTGGGCAAAAAATATGAACAGAAGCTTTTCAAAATAGACAAATGGCCAATAAACATGAAAAGACGCTCAACATCATTAATTATCAGGGAAATGCAAATTAAAACCACAATGAGATAGATCTTACCTTATCCCAGTTGGAATGGCTTTTATTAAAAAGTCCAAAAACAATATACATTGGTGTGGATGCAGAAAGAAAGGAACGCTTACACACTGTTGGTAGAACTGCAAATTAGTACAACCTCTGTGGAAAACAATATGGAGATTCCTCAAAGAACTAAAAGTTGACCTACCATTTGATACAGCAAGCCCACTACTGGGTATATACCCAAAGGAAAAGAAGTCATTTTATCAAAAAGACACCTGCCCTCAAATGTTCATTGCAGCACAATTCACAATTGGAAAGATGTGGAATCAACCCAAGTGCCCATCAGTTCATGAGTGGTTTAAGAAAATGTGGTATGTGTACACTATGGAATACTACTCAGCCATGAAGAAGGATGAATTAAGGCCCTTTACAACAATTGGAATGGAACTGGAGACCATTATGCTAAGTATCTAATGGATGGAAAAACAAACACCACATGTACTCGCTATTAAATTGGAACTAACCCATGAACACACGTGTGCACAGAGGGAAGTAAAACTCAGTGGATATCAAGCCTGGGAGAAGGGGGAGAAGGGTTGGATGAAAATCTATCTGACGGGTGCAGTGAACACTATGTAGGTGATGGACACACTTATAACCCTGACTCAAGCATAACAAAATTGATACATATAACCAAAAACATTTGCACCCCCATAATATTTTGGAAAAAAAAGAAAGAAAAAAAATAGTAGCAGGGAAACAGAAACTGAAAAAGAATCAAATGAAAGTTCTGGAACTGAAAAATGCAGTATCTGAAAAATTAACATCTTGTCTACTTTGAATATTGTATATTCTTTAACATTTAAATATTTTTCCTTCATGGTATAGAATTATAAAGCTGCTTCATATTGGGTTTTTTTGTTGTTAATCTCTGTTAACATTATATTTAGGATTCTTTAGGTGAACTTTTGTGTAAGCTGAAATTTTCTAACTCTGGGCTCTTTAAGATGGAAGTTTGTATTTGGAAAACAGTTTTTAATTAACTCTGTGTGGTGACTACCATAGAACTATTTGATATCAATTACTGTGAGGCAGGTAGTGATTGAGAGTGCAGGTTCTAAAGTTAGACTGTCTGGCTTCACATCCTGTTGTGCCACTTACTAACTATATGATTTTGGACAGATTATGTAACC